GTCCTAGATGAACGAGTTTCACTATGCCTTTGTAGTGATAACCACTACCCTGTCTTCTACTCCTATTCATTTATTCATCATTCATTCCAGCATGATAGGAATTCCTTGTTCTTTCTTGCATGGTAGGAGTTCATTGTTCATTCCCGTATGGCAGGGAGCAAGGAGGATGCAATTGTTTACAAAACCACCAAAGCCTCCACAGTCAAAGAGCTTACCATCTAGCAGGGCAGAAAATCAGTGATGATTACAAAAATCCTCTTTCTACTCCAGGACTCTGCTCCATCTCAAAGGGATGGTCTCAAAACCGTCCCTTTCTCTTTTCTTAATTTTCTTCCTTCCTGCCTCCCTCTTAAACACTGTGTTCCTGCCTCAACCATCAGAGTATTCCTGGCCAGCTTGCTCAACTCTCATGAGGCTCCTAAGGCTTCTCTGTTGATGAACATGAACAACGTTGGTGCTCAGCCCAGATTCCCTGTTAACTAGAGTGGGTACAGCCCAATCTCAGTAGCAAAACCCAGAGGGGTTCCCAGGCTGCTGGTGCTTTTTCCATGGGCAAAGAGAAGTCCCTGAAGCTTCCCTTTAGTTAGAATTATCCCATTATCATCAGGACGAAAGCACACTTTCAGTTCTTGCCTTCTTTGATCTCTTAGAAGCATTCCACACCTTTTTTTTTTTTTTTTTTTTTTTTTTTTTTTTTTTTTTTGAGACAGAGTTTCACTCTGTTTCCCAGGCTAGAGTGCAGTGGTACAATCTTGGCTCACTGCAAACCACCTCCTGGATTCAAGCGATTCTCTTGCCTCAGCCTCTTGAGTAGCTGGCATTACAGGTAAGCGCCACCACACCAAGCTCATTTTTGTATTTTTCGTAGAGGCGGGGTTTCACCATGTTGGCCAGGATGGTCTCGAGCTCCTGACGTCAGGTGGTCCATTGGCTTCTGCCTCCCAAAATGCTGGGATTACAAGCATGAGCCACCAAGCCCCACCAGATTCTCTTCTTAAGATCAAGTCCAAACTCCTTAAAATTGCTTGCTGATAAAATCACTGGCAACCTGCCTCCTATTTTCTCATTTCTTCTTTTATCACTTGCTCTCCCACATTCTGCCTTCCAATTATATTTAACTTCTTTCATCCTCCTCATAGATGGTGCATTGTGTCTCTTCTGGCCACAGCCTATGCTGTTCTTCCTGTTTGTTGTTCTCTTCTTATTAAACAATAAGAATGTTCATAATGTTCTCAGATGGCCTCATTTTCCGTGTACCTCTCTCTTTGGCTATCCAAAGAAAATCATCGTTTAGGTTGTTTTCTCAGAGTTCATCTCAAAGCCTGGCAAGTGAGTATTTTATATTTTGAATTATCTAAAAATCATAGAGTAATACTTTCACAGATGTCTCATAGGCACAACCTATAATCAGATTATTTTTGAACTAGTATGTCAATATTGCTTTGTAACTAGAGAATTTGGTCTGTTTCTATATACTCCCTGACGTATGGGATTTAATCTGTCATCTCGTACTGTACATTTTTTTAGCTTTACCTGTGTTTCTTTCCCTTTCCTTTCCTCAGTTTTCTTTTTGATTAAGTAAACTTTTGTCTCTTCCAGTTTGGATGATTTTCGGTCTGTCTCTGTTCTCAGGGCTAGCCTGAGAAACTAAGGCATGCATATTTACACAGTCTAAATTTAGTAAAACCTCACCAATAATGTAAGGATCTTTCTTTGCCTGTTTCTGATTTTGATACTATTTTTGCCTGGTATTTTAATTTCATATCTATTTTAAGGCCCACTAGACATTACAGTCACTATTTTATGTAATCAATGTTCATTTATGTTTGCTCACCCATTTATCACTGTCTTTGTTTTTCATTCCTTCTTGCATCTCATATCTTCCATTGGGGAGCATTTACTTTCTGCTCAAAGCATATCCTTTCACATTTCTTTGAAAAGTGTCTCCTGGTGACACACTTAGTTTTTACTTGTCTGAAAATGTCTTTATTTTGCTCTGTGTCTTAAAAGCTGTTTTTACTGGGTATAGAATTCTAAGTTGGCAGTTCTTGCCTCTTAGTGCTGGAAGATTCCATTCTATTCTCTTCCATCTTTTTACAATGTTGTGAGTCCATGCCCAGCTCTCCTCACCTCCTGGCTCCTTTTAATGGTTTTCTTTTGTCTTTACTTCTCTGTTTTGCAGTTTCATTGTACTGCATCTCTATATAGATTAATTTTTTTTTTTGGTAATCTATTCTGCTTGACATTTGCTGGGCATATTTTATCTTTGGACTAGCACTATGCATCAGTTCCACAAAAATCTAAGCCATTATCTTTGGAATATTTTCTCTGTCCCCCTTCTCTTGTCTGGTACTTCAATCAAATGAAAGCGTCTAGTGGTTTAACCTTGAGGGCAGAATCACTTATTTATATCAGAGGATCCATCCAGTGTTGAAAACAAAACCCATCTGGGCACGGTGGCTCACACCTGTAATCCCAGCACTTGGGGAGGCTGAGGTGGGCAGATCGCAAGGTCAGGAGTTCAAGACCAGCCTGGCCAACATGGTGAAACCCCATCTCTACTAAAAATACAAAAAAAAAAAGTTAGCTGGGCATGGTGGCACATGCCTGTAATCCTAGCTACTCAGGAGGCTTAGGCAGGAGAACTGCTTGAACCCAGGGGGTAGAGGTTGCAGTGAGCTGAAAATGTGCCACTGCACTCCAGCCTAGGTGACAGAGTAAGACTTTGTCTCAGAAAAAAAAAAAAGGACATTTTACTTAACTTGGAAAATATTTCTTGAGTAAATTTGGACAGTGGTTAAATGTTTAATTCTCCCAGGTATAATTAATCACAGGCCATGTCAAGTCAAAAAATAACACAAAACGAGGTTTTTATCTACTTCATTTAGAAAGAGTTGGAAGAGTATGCTAGGCACGCTGGCTCACACCTGTATTCCCAGCACTTTGGGAGGCTGAGGAGGATCATGAGGTCAAGAGATTGATACCATCCTGGCCAACATGGTGAAACCCTATCTCTATTTAAAAAAAAATTAGCTGGGCATGGTGGCATGCACCTGTAGTCCAGCTACTTGGGAGGCTGAAGCAGAAGAATCACTTGAACCCAGGAGGCGGAGGCTGCTGTGAGCTGAGATTGCACCACTGCGCTCCAGCCTGTCAACAGAGCAATGCTCCATCTCAAAAAAAAAAAAAAAAAAAAAAAAGGAAAAGAAATAGTTAGAAGAATTCAACCTAATTTTATAAAAACTTTGTAATGCTCCATAACAACTTTCAGTTATCAACACCAAAAATGTGTATCCCACCTCTGACTGCCTATTTTCCTTGGAAGAAGTTGCTGTCTTTTTCTGCCTTTCATATCATTACCTAAGAAGGGACTATTTCCATGTAAAGTCAATGAAATCCTCTTAAGTTATTCAGGTGATTTTTCTCTGAGAGTTGATGATGGCTCTGGCCCAGAATTACTAAGAAAAGGCTCTAAGAAACAAACAGATAGGCTCTCCACCCTCTGCAAACTTTCTTCCTTTACTTAAGCACACCTTTCTGTTCCTACAAATGTCCTGTACTACATGATAAAACTGTAGCCTGAGGGATTCACCTGGGCTCCCTGGAACTACATTGAGAGTCACAACTGAGCCTGCAAAGTCAACTGTGGCCTTACAATGAATACTTGGGATCCAAGGAGCTCCTAAGAAGTAATATAAAGACATTTATAAATGACAGATGTGGGCCAGGCGCGGTGGCTCATGCCTGTAATTCCAGCACTTTGGGAGGCTGACATGGGTGTATCACTTGAGGTCAGGAGTCTGAGACCATTCTGGTCAACATGGTGAAACCCTGTCTCTACTAAAAATACAAAAATCAGCTGGATATAGTGGCAGGCACCTAAAATCCCAGCTACTTGAGTGGTTGAGGCAAGAGAATCACTTGAACCTGGGAGGTGGACGTTGCAGTGAGCCAAGACTGAGCCACTACACTCCAGCCTGGGCAACAGAGTGAGACCCCATCTCAATACATGAATGAATGAATGAATGTATAAATAAATAAATAAATAAATAAATAAATAAATGACACATCTTCCAGTAGTCATTTTTCTTCTGTTTTCTGAATATTTGAAACTTGCAAAATGGGAAGTTTGGCACAGCAGTAAAGACTTTTTTAGAATCCCTCTTTCTGGAGATTATTTTATTTTTTGAGATGGAGTCTCACTTTGTCACCTAGGCTAGAGTGCAGTGGTGCCATACTGGCTCACTGCAACCTGTCTCTGGGTTTAAGCTATTCTCCTGCCTCAGCTGCCCTAGTAGCTGGGATCATAGGCATGCACCACATGTCTGGCTAATGTCTGTATTTTTAGTAGAGATGGGGGTTTTACTGTGTTGACCAGGCTGGTCTGGAATTCCTGACATCAAGTACCGGGAGGAGCCACCATGTCCAGCCACTTTCTTGAGATTTAAAAGAGGACAACTTTATAAACATGTAGAAAGCTGAGACACCTCTGTTGTCAAAGCAAACATCCCATACCCTTATTCCTAATTTTCTAGTATGTATGGAATGTTTTCTGCTCTTTTAGGAGCAGGGTTGTTTCATGGCTTAAGTCTGGAAATGTTGCATCTTTGCTTTTTCTGTATATACATGGGAAGGCCTGTTAATGGAAGCACTATCTGCTAACTGCAGATGAACGGGGAGAGGGGCTCCTCCTTATCTGAATTACCTCGGTCGCATTGCTTCTAAGACAACCTGTAATCCCACCATTTCTTCTCCTTTGTCATCGCCACTGTGTCTTTCTTCTCTTCTCTGTCTTCTCCTTACTTTTCGTCTAAACTTCCTCATTTTTAACAGAGGTTGGAGCAGTGAATAAGAGTCAGTGCATTTAACACGAAATCTACTTACTCACTTTTCTGTGTGTGCAAGGCTGAGCGGAGGTTTTACATCTCAAGAGGAACTGAGTGTTGCAGAGCATGGAACATACCGAAGAGACCAGCAATCTTGCACCCACACCTCACAGCATGGAGAGAGGAGATCAAGCTGGGACAACCAGGTAGGCCACCCCTTGTACCACCAGGCTCTTCCCTCTCCCAGATTCTGGAGAAGCTCCAAGATTCTGCCTTTGTAAGGCTCCCTTTTTAGTTTGAAAGAGGCTTCTCCACAGGCACGGTGGCTCACACCTGTAATTCCAGGACTTTTGGAGTCTGAGGCAAGTGAACCACCTGAGGTTAGGAGTTCAAGGCCAGCCTGGCCAAAATGGCAAAACCCTGTCTCTATTAAAAATACCAAAAATCAGCCAGGCGTGGTGGCACACGCCTGTAATCCCAGCTATTCGGGAGGCTGAGGCAGGAGAACCGCAGGAACCGGGAGGTGAAGGTTGCAGTGAGATGAGATTGTACCACTGCATTCTAGTCTGTGTGACAGTGCGAGATTCTGTCTCAAAAAGAAAAAAAAAAAAAAGCAGGGCAGCTTCTCATGGAAGTGGAATTTGGCGGCCATTGCTGTTAGCGCTGGCGCAAACCATGGTAGCTTCCCCTTTTCAGTTACCTGTGGTCAACTGCAGTCTGAAAAAGGTGAGTACAGCACAAAAAGATGTTTTCCGAGAGACAGACCACATCCATATAACCATCATTTTTTTTTTTTTTTTTTTTTTTTGAGACAGAATCTCACTCTGTGGCCCAGGCCAGAATGCAGTGGCACAATCCTGGCTCACTGCAACCTTCACTTCCTGGGTTCAGGCGATTCTCCTGCCTCAGCCTCCCAAGTAGCTGGGATTACAGGAGCAGACCATCACACCTGCCTAATTTTTGTATTTTTAGTAGAGACAGGGTTTTGCCATGTTGAGGTCACTCCTGACCTCAAGTGATCTACTCGCCTCAGCTTCCAAAGTGCTGGGATTACAGGCATGAGCCACTGTATCCAGTCCTAGACTTTTTAAAAAAATGAAGTTCAGAAAAGTCATCCATTTGCTCTGTAGTTTTTATCAAGCTCTACTGAGGGCTTTTGCACTCCTCAAATAAGTGATTCTAGCATTTTTCAAGAAGATAATAGATACACATGAAATGCTCATTTAGGACTGCTCTGTTATCAATGAATTTGTTGAAGACAGAGTTGGTTTGTGGGAACACAACATCAAGTACAATGTTCTTTTTCAAAGAGAAATATTACATATTAGTCTTTTTTAGCTGGGCACAGTGGCTCACACCTATAATCCCAGCACTTTGGGAGGCCAAAGCGGACAGATCACTTGAGGTCAGGAGTTCAAGACCAGCCTGGACAACATGGTGAAACCCCATCTCTACTAAAAAATAAAAAATTAGCTGGATGTGGCAGTGCATGACTATAATCCCAGCTACTCAGGAGGCTGAAGCAGAAGAATCACTTGAACCCAGGAGGTTGCAGTGAGCTGAGATTGTGCCACTGCACTCCAGCATGGGTGATGGAGTGAGACTCTGTCTCAAAAAAATAAAGATTAGTCTTTTTTGCCTTTTTCTTTAAACTAGTAATTATTAACGTAAGTGCCCAGGTAAAACTCAGGGAGTTTATGTTCAGAAATTATCTCCCTTCCCAAAAAGTTTTCATCTGTGCCTAGGTTCATATAAAATCTCTCATTTTATGAGTGTTCTCAATCATTTTGTTATGAAGAACAAAATCCTCTTTACAGAACACTGAGTTAACCTCAACTGATGTCAGCTGGTGTCAGTTTTAGATGCTTATAGAGATCAACCGAAAAAATGAGAGGCGGGGTATAGCATATTTCATCATTATATTAGGGATTAGAACCTCCCATTTGGGAATATTATATATCTTTGTAAGGAACTTAATGATCAATTAGGAAACTTTATAGAAAGCATTTAAATGGTGGCAAGGAAAAATGTATACAGATAGGCTGACTTTTTAAAAAAGAACTTTTCCTAAGATCACCTGATTGGATACTTGAATCTTGGGATAAAATTCTGGTGACATTATAAGTAGATTTGTTTGTTTTGAGACAGAGTTTCACTCTGTCGCCCAGGGTGGAAGGCTGTGGCGTGATCTTGGCTCACTGCAACCTTCGCCTCCTGGGTTCAAGTAATCCTCCTGCCTCAGCCTCCTAAGTAGCTTGGATTACAGGTATCCGCCACCAAACCCAGCTGATTTTTGTATTATTAGTAGAGACAGAGTTTTGTCATGTTGGCCAGGCTGGTCCCAGACTGCTGACCTCAAGTGATCTACCTGCCTTGGCCTCCCAGAGGGCTGGACTTACAGACATGAGCCACTGAACCCGGCCTATAATAAATTTAAAAAGCACTGTTTATCAAACATTCAGAAGGAAGTCAAAATTATCTGCTCTGTAAAACATAGATAACTTGAAAAACAGCTCTGCTGATCATGATGATACCGAGATTGAAGCTGCCTACGAACTGTTTGGATAAAACTATTCTCCAAATTGTGAAAAAGACAATTTCTAAATTCACATTTATGACATGTTAAGTGTGCATATAAAATGCACTTACTGAACGTTATGTATAGGTATTTGACAATTTCACCTACATCCCTACAAATTTATTCCTTTAATTTAAAAATGAGAGGCAAGATATCACTCTGTCACTGAGGCTGGAATCAGTGGTGCAGTCATAGCTTTCTGCAACCTCAAACTCCTAGGCTCCAGAGATCTTCCTGCCTCTGCCCCCCAGGTAGCTGGGACCACAGGTGTGTGCCACCCTGCCAAACTCATTTTTACATTTTTTTGTAGAGATGAGGTCTCACTATGTTGTCCAGATTGGGTTCAAACTCCTGATTGCAAGTGATCCTCCTGCCTTGGCCTCCCAAAGTGCTAGGATTACAGGCATGAGCTACTATGCCTAGCCCTAAAAGTCAGATTGTTAACACAATATTCAGATTGTTAACACAGACCATGAAAACCTTTTTTGCCCTTTCTTATGGGAAAAAAATTGCAATCACTTTATATTTGAAGATATGTTTCTCTCTCTCTCTCTCTTTTTTTTTTTAAAAGACGGAGTCTCCCTCTGTCACCCAGGCTGGAGTGCAGTGGCACAATCTCAGCTCACTGCAATCTATTCTTTGCTTCCTGGGTTCAAGCAATTCTTCTGCCTCAGCCTTTTGAGTAGCTGGGATTACAGGCACCCACCACCAGGCCTGGCTAATTTTTGTATTTTTAGTAGAGACAGGGTTTCACCATGTTGGCCAGACTAGTCTTGAGCTCCAGACCTCGTGATCTGCCCTCCTCAGCCTCCCAAAGTGCTGGGATTACAGGCGTGAGCCACCACGCCTAGCCATGTTTCTTACAATAAAGATTTCCATTAAAACACAGGGAATTCAGTATGGGGAACTTAGCTGATATAATGTTAAATATATTTGAATTTTCTCCCTAGGAATGAGAAAGTTCTCAACTGCTTATACAAAAAGCCCGAGGCCATTTTTAAGCTGATTTGCTTTCCTTGGGCGGGAGGTGGCTCCACTCATTTTGCCAAATGGGGACAAGACACTCAAGATTTTCTGGAAGGTATGTTCATTTTCAACACCATTTAAGCAATTTATAAGAGCAGATGATAATGTATTCTAAATATATTAGAATTTGAAGTTCGATCAAGACTTTACTTCTTGGTAGGTAATTAATAATAAATTTTCAAGATTATGCTTCAATAGGGTGACTTTTATATTTCTAAAGTAAGTTGCCTTTACTTTGTTATTATCGTTAGCACTAGAAGGACCTTTTAGGAGAAGACATTCTAATACTGCATTTGTCTTTGGTACAGTTATTGATATGGTGGAACTGAATCTACCATCTTACAATTGTTTCCTATTTGTCCAGTGATATGTTCTATTTCCCCTTTTTCTGCTTTTCTTTTGAATTAACCGAGAGTCTAAAAGACGGTTATAAATCCAGGCACAGTGGCTTATGCCTGTAATACCAGCACTTTGAGAGGCCGAGGCAGGAGGATTGCTTGAGGCAAAGAATCTAAGACCACTCTGGGCAACATAGTGAGCCCGTCTCTATAATAATAATTATTTATTTTTCATTTATTTGTTTATTTTGAGTTGGAGTCTCACTCTGTCACCCAGGCTGGAGTGTAGTGGTGCCATCTTGGCTCACTGCAACCTCTACCTCCTGGGTTCAAGTGATTTTTGTGTTTCAGCCTCCCAAGTAGCTGGGATTACAGGCACTTGCCACCAAGCCTGGCTAACTTTTATTTATTTTTATTTTTATTTTTGAGTTGGAATTTTGCTGTGTTGCCCAGGCTGGAGTGCAATAGTGCTTTCTCGGCTCACTGCAACCTCTGCCTCCCAGGTTCAAGCAATCCTCCTGCCTCGGCCTTCTGAGTAGCTGAGAATACAGGTGCACAGCCACCAGGTCTGGCTAATTTTTGTATGTTTAGTAGAGACGGGATTTCACCATGTTGGTCAGGCTGGTTTCAAACTCCTGAACTTGTGATGCGCCACCTTGACCTCCCAAAGTGCTGGGATTACAGGTGTGAGTCACTATGTTCAGCTAATTTTTATATTTTTTAGTAGAGATGGGAAAGTGTTTTCATTGGCTGGCTGAAAAACTTTGATTTATAATTTCTAAATTTTGTATGATAAATTTATCTTTGTTTACAATAAAGTGTGTTAGATTTTCTTGACCAGCAAGAATAGGTCATTCCCCTGAGATTAAGGGCGGTTGCTTAATTTCTGAGTTCAAGAGTGTCCTCTTCTGTTGCTCTAGTGAACTGCAGTTTTAAAAACCACCTTGTTTGTGTGGGTGGGGTTTCTGTAATTCTGGTTCTTTGATATTTTCATGTCTCTGTAGGACTCTCATCTCCAGGACCTTCCTTCTTTATTTTTAATCATCAAGATTCCCAACACTATACCTCTCTATTCCTCAAGCTTTCCAAGTCTCTTCCTTTCCACATGCTGGTAGCCAATACTCTGGTATCAAGTCTCAAACGAAATAATCCATTCATTGGAAGAAGAGAGCCCTGTAATTCCTAAAAGTCTCTTTAGAAATTATTGGAAATACTTTTATACGAAGTTTTTAATCAATGCCTGATGGTTCAATTTAGACAATTAAAAGCCACTCCTTTAAACAAATTTTCAAATAGTTGATTTATAAAAATGTGTACCATAAACTTAACTGTGTCCATTGCTCCACTTATAGAATAAAACAGTATGGATATAATGGAAGTCTCCCTCGCCATTTGTGGCCTCCTCAAACACTGACTTAAGCAAGATATAGTATAATCTCTCATATTTCTAACCTTCTATTTTGAGACAAAGTCACACTCTGTCCCTCAGGCTGGAGTTCAGCAGCGCCATCTCAGCTCACTGCAATCTCCACCTCCCGGGTTCAAGTGATTCTCCTGCCTTAGCTTCCCAAGTATCTGGGATTACAGGCCTGCGCCACCATGCCCAGCTAACTTTTGTATTTTTAGTACAGACAGGGTTTCACCATGTTGGCTAGGATGGTCTCAAACTCCTGACCTCAGGTAATCTACCTGCCTTGGCTTCCCAAAGTGCTGGGATTATAGGCATGAGCCACCACACCTGGCCTATATAAATGTTTTATACTGTAAACATTACACTGAAACTTGCTTTTCCCTCAGTTTATTTTTTGGGATGTATCATGTGGGTATGTATATCTCTATTCCACCAGTTTTAAACTGTTTTTTTTTTTTTTTTCGTATTCTACTGTGTGAATATAACACAATTTATCTATTCTGTTCTCAGACATTCTGGTCATTTTCATTTTTGTGCTACTAGTGTAAACAGTGCTTCTATGAGCATCTTATTCATGTTTCCTTACATGCATGTACAAGACAGTCTACATCTAGGAGAGGAATTTCTGGGTGATAGAGTATGAACATCTTCAACGACATAAAATATTGTCAAATTGTTCTCCAAAGGAATTATAATAATTTATACTACTAGCCAGGCACAGTGGCTCACATCTGTAATCCCAGCACTTTGGGAGGCTGAGGTGGGTGGATCACAAGTTCAGGAGATCGAGACCATCATGGTTAACACGGTGAAACCCTGCCTCTGCTAAAAATAAAAAAAAAGAAAAAAAAAGAAAAAAAAAGAAAAAATTAGCTGGGCATGGTGGTGGGCGCCTCCCAGCTACTTGGGAGGCTGAAGCAGAGAATCGCTTAAACCCGGGAGGCGGATATTGCAGTGAGCTGAGATCATGCCACTGCACTCCAGCCTGAGTGACAGAGCAAGACTCTGTCTCAAAAAATAATTATTATTATTTATACTATCAAAGCAACATAGGAAAATTCTCATTGCTCTATATTGTTGACATTATTGTTGTAATCTTTTGCTACTCTGTGCTGAAATTATTCTAACTTTACATTAATCAATCCTTATTACAAGTAAGATTGGGCATCTTTTCACATCTGTATTAACTTTGAATATTTTCTTTCCTGTGAGCTTCTTGTTAGTATCTTCTTGTTAGTATCTTATGTTCACTTCATTTGATTGCTTTTCTTCTCATTGACATGTAGAAATTCTTTCTTTCCTTCCTTCTTTCCTTCCTTTCTCTCTCCCTTTCTTCCTTCTTTCCTTCATTCCTCTCTCTCTCTCTCTCTCTCTCTCTCTCTCTCTCTCTCTCTCTCTCTGTGTCTCTTTCTCTGTCTGTCTCTCTCTCTGTCTCTCTCTCTCTCTCTGACAGGATCATGCTCTGTTGCCCAGGCTGGAGTACAATGGCATGATCTTGACTAACTGCAGCCTTAACTTCCCAGCCTCAAGCGATCCTCCCACCTCAGCCTCCTGAGTTGCTGGGACTGCAGGCATACAGTACCATGCTCGGCTAATTTTTTAATTTTAATTTTTGTAGAGACAGTATCTCACTATGTTGCCAAGGCTGGTCTCAAACTCCTGGGCTCAAGTGATTCTCCTGCCTCCGTCTACCCATGTGGTGGGATTATAGGTGTGAGCCACTATGCCTGGACAAAATTCTTTGTCTGTTCTGGATTCTAATTTTTTTGGTATGTTTTATGTGTTAAAAAATGTCTTCTATATAACTCGATCAAGACAAGACACAAAAAGACAAAAAGACAATGTCTTCTAGTTTGTGCCACCTTTCTTTTTAAGGTGGTGTCTTCTGACACACAGAAGCTTTAAATTTTAATATACTCAAGCTTATTACTCTTCTTTTAAACTTTCTGCTGTTTCAGGTTTGCTTTAAAAGCAAGCCTAACGTAACCCTACACCTTAACCCCCAAGTCACAGTTATTTGCCCATTTTCTTCTATCAGTTCTAAAGTATTTTTCTCACATTTGAGCCAGAATTATCTTTTGTATCTAGTGTGAGCTAGATATCCAAGTTTACTTATGCCACGTGAATAGCCAGTTGGCTTGGCAATGCTTACTGAGAGGTCTTCACATTCCCCAACTGGTTTTAAGTGACAGTTGAGTTATAAATTGAGTTTTCACATGTATGTGGTCTATTTCTGGGCTCTCTATTCTTTTTCTTTCTCTTTTTTTTTTTTTTTTTTTTTGAGACAAAATCTCACTCTGCCGCCCAGGCTGGAGTGCCATGATGTGATCTCGGCTTACTGCAACGTCTGCCTCCTGGGCACAAGCGATTCTCATGCCTCAGCCTTCCAAGTAGGTGAGATAACAGTCAGGAGCCACCATGCCTGGTTCATTTTTGTATTCTTAGTAGAAACGGGGTTTCACCATGTTGGTCAGGCTGGACTCAATCTCCTGACCTCAGGTGATCCACCTGCCTCAGCCTCCCAAAGTGCTGGGATGATGGGCATGAACCACCGTGTTGGGCCCGGGCTCTCTGTTCTGTTCCATCGACGTGCTTGCCTCATTTGATACCAGAACCACACTGTCTTCATTCCAGGAGCGTGGCGGTCTCAGGGTAACTGGATGTTTCCTTGATGCCTTCATGGGAAAATGAGTATCTGTGAGTCTATTTGGGGGTCTACTTCTGGGTTCTCTATTCCACTGATCTATACGTCTGGTTTTACTCCAAAAGTGTGCTATCTTGATGACTGTGGCCTTATAATAAGCCTTGGATATCAAGTAGCTTAAGTTCTCCCACTTTGTTCTTTTTGAATGTTGTTTTGGATATGTTAAGTCCTTTGCATTTTGCATATGATTTTTAGAATCAGCTTATCAATTGGCTGAGATTTTGTTTGGGACTGCAGTGAAGTTAGAGATCCATTTCCAGAAAATTGGCATCATAACAATATTGGGTCCACTGATCCATGAGTGAGGTATATTTCTCCAGTTTAAAAAGTATTGTTTTGCTTTAGCAGTATTTTGTCATTTTTTTGTTTCTGGCCTGCTGGGACTATAGGAACGTGCCGCCATGCTTGGTTAATTTTTAAAAAAAATTTGTCATACAGATGGGGTCTCCCTGTGTTGCCCAGGCTGCTCTTGGACCCCTGAAGCAAAGCAATCCTCCCACCTTGGCCTCTCAAAGTGTTGGAATTATAGGCATGAGCCACCGCCCTTGACCTTCCAACATACATCTTTCAGTGATCACAGTCTACTTTCAAATTGGATAACACCCATTCATTTTTAATAAAAGAACCTTTTAAGAGTGCTATTCCATTCCTCTCTCTTGACCTTTGTGCTACTCTTGGATTACATTTTCCTACTTAGCAATTTTGTGTAGAGCAGTTAGTTGTCTTTTACAGTGATTTTAAAGTGATAAAAAATGTTTAGTAAGACCTTCTGAGTTTGTGGAGGAAAACCAAAAGGATCAAAATAATCTTTTACATGATTACCTTTGTTAAACTGATCCAGATTTTTTTTATTTTATTTTTCTTTATTTTTCTTTTTATATATTTTTAAAGTGATTCAGATTTTCATCTGGCATTATTTTTTTTTTTTTTTTTTTTTTTTTTTTTTTTTGAGATGGAGTTTCGCTCTTGTTACCCAGGCTGGAGTGCAATGGCACGATCTCGGCTCACCGCAACCTCCGCCTCCTGGGTTCAGGCAATTCTCCTGCCTCAGCCTCCTGAGTAGCTGGGATTACAGGCATGCGCCACCATGCCCAGCTAATTTTTTGTATTTTTAGTAGAGACGGGGTTTCACCATGTTGACCAGGTTGGTCTCGATCTCTCGACCTCGTGATCCACCCGCCTCGGCCTCCCAAAGTGCTGGGATTACAGGCTTGAGCCACCGCGCCCGGCCCTTTCATCTGGCATTATTTTTATTCTGCCTGAAGAAGTTCCTTCAATATTTATTTTCGTGCGAGTCTGCTGGCATTGAATTCTCATGGGTTTTGTGTGTCTAAAACATCCTGAACTTCCTGAAAGATACTATCACAGGCTACGGAATGCCAGGTTGACAGTTGCTTCCTCCTTTCCTACCCCCTAGTATTCTCTGACTTGCCTATTTTCCCTCCTCCCTTCCTCCTTCCCTCCCTTCCTTCTTCCCTCCTTCTGCCCTTCCTTCCTTCTTTCTTTCCTTCCTTCCTTCCTTCTGTCCATTCATCCATCCATCCGTCCATCCATCTCACTCTGTCTCCCAGCTAAAGTGCAGTGGCACAAACACAGCTCACTGTAGCTCCAACCTCCCAGGCTCAAGCCATCCTCCTGTCTCAGCCTCCTAAGTAGCTGAGACTACAGATTGCCTCAGCCTCCTAAGTAGCTGGGACTACAGATGTGCACCACCACAGCCAGCTAATATTTTAAAAAAATTTTTATAGAGATGAAGTCTCACTTCATTGCCCAGGCTGTCTCAAACTCCTGGGCTCAAGCAGTCCTCCAGTCACAGCCTCCCAAAGTGCTGGGATTACAGGCATGAGCCACTGCACCTGGCAGGCTTGCACAATTTCTAAAGAGAAATATGAGGTCATGGCCTGTGTATGGTGGCTCACGCCTGTAATCTTAGCACTTTGGGAGGCCGAAGCGAGCAGATCATTTGAGGTCAGGAGTTTGAGACCAGCCTGATCAACATGGTGAAAATACAAAAATTAGCCGGGTGTGGTGGTGTGTGCCTGTAATCCAGATACTTGGGAAGCTGAGGCAGGAGAATCACTTGAACCTGGAAGGCAGAGGTTGCAGTTAGCCAAGATTGCACCATTACACTCCAGCCTGGGTAACAGAGCAAGACTCTGTCTCAAAAAAGAAAAGAAAGAAATGTGTTGTCATTACCTTAGTATCTATGTCTCTCTTCTGTGGCTGCTTTTTAAGATAATCTTTTTATCAAACGTTTTTAGCAATTTGATGGACAAGCCTTGGTTTGGTTTTCATTGTTTATTCTGCTTGAGTTTCCTTGAGCTTCTTGGAACGACAACTTTGTAATTTTCAAATTTGAAAATATCCAGCCACTATTTTTTCAAATGTTTTTCTGTTTTCCTCTTCTCTCCTCTCCTTCTGGGACTCCAACTACACCTTTGTTAGATTGATTTATAGGGTGCCATGGTATATTAATCATCTGTACATTTATTTTGTCATGTTTCTTCCATGGTTAATTTTCTTTTCTTTTCTTTTTTTTTTTTTTTTTGAAGACAGAGTCTCATTCTGTCATCCAGGCTGCAGTGCAATGGCCTCATCTTGGTTCACTGCAACCTCTGCCTCCTGGGTTCAAGCGATTACCCTGCCACAACCTCCTGAGTAGCTGGGACCACAGGCATGTGCCATCACACCCAGCTAATTTTTGTATTTTTAGTAGAGACGGGGTTTCACCATGTTGACCAGGTTGGTCTCCAACTATTGACCTCCAGTGATCTGCCTGCCTCAGCCTGCCAAAGTGCTGGGATTACAGGTGTGAGCCACCATGCCTGGCCAATATGCTTAATTTTGCATATTTTCTTTTTCTATGTTTAAGTTCACTGATCTTTTCTTCTGGGTGTCTTCTTCCTTCCGTCTGTCAATCTCACTCTGTCTCCCTGGGAGGATGAGGTATCTGCTGTTAATCCTGTCTGGTGTCTTTTAAAAATTTTTCAGATCTTATATTTTACATCTCTACAAGTTCCATTTGGGTCTTTTAAAAATCTTTATTATCTGTTCTTATCACGTTCATGTTTTTGTTTACATTATTGATCACATTTGTATTTTATAGCTGTTTAAGGTCCTTGTCTACTGACTCCACTGTTTGTTATTTCTTGTCTGTTTCTCATGTTTGATGCTTTCCCTGGACCTGTTACGGGTCAAGTCTTCCAGCTTTTTGGCATGTCTGGTGAGTTTTGATTAGATGTTAGACATTGTACGTTTTACATTGTTGGGTCCTGGATTTTCTTGTATTCCTTTAAAGTATGTTAGACTTTGCTCTAGCAAGTAAGCCAGTAAGTTATTTGGGATCAACTTGATGTTTGCTCTGGAGATGCTTATGTTGTGTATTTATTCATTAAGGGATGACGTGTCATTGTTTCTGTTAGGCATCATGAAGCGCTACTTGCCCAGGATCACTTTGAGTTATTTTTCCAGCTTATTTTCTATAAATACGAAGTGTATGTTACCTGCACTCCAGTTTATCAAAGTAACATAAATACACTTCAAATTTGCATAAATACAAGGCTTTGATTTAAAAAAAAAAAATCTAAGGGTAGACTTTTTCCCCCATCCAGAGCCAAGACAAAATCAGAAAGTTCTGCTTTTCTCCTTTGCCATTTGGAAAATATATATTTGTAGTCTAACTTTTCAGAGAGGATCTAGAAACTAGGGTTTCTTGGCTTTATGTAAAAGACTCAGTTCTAACTCTCAAATTTAATGCATTCTAGTGCCTTATCTCCTGACACTCTAGGTCACCCTTGAAACCTGATGTTTTATTTTCCTGATATAGGTAATGGTTGTTGGGGTAAGCATTTCATCAGCACATGATAATCAATGGAATTTTCAGTTCCATTTTTTTTTCCCCCTTCTAGGTGTTTTATCTTATTGTGAGCAGATATTTAGTCTGCTGTATTTTGTGCTCTTTCTTTTATTATCAGCAAATTCTAAAACTTTTATTTCACTGGACTTAACTGTTATCATTTATTTCTTTGAATTTTTTTCCACCAGGTAAATATAAGCCCTTTTATAACATCACAATATCTCATTCACTGTCTGTATGTGTTCACCTGTGCTTCTCCATCTCCAGTGCATGCCATAAGGCTTCCTGGAAGAGAAAGCCGAATTGGAGAACCCATGGCAACTGACATCTACCAGATAATTGATGAAATTACTTGTGCCATGCTGCCAGTCATCCAGGATAAACCGTTTGCATTTTTTGGCCACAGGTATTTGAAATCTGTTTTAAAATTCTTCAGGGGAGTTTCTTCTATCCCAAGTCTGTGGTTAATGTTGCTCACAGTGTCTTGTAATGGTTAGACAGCGTGTTGGGTCATTGTGACCAATCACAACTTTTACAGTTCACCAGTTTGTATGGTAAGTATACCTATTTTTTTTCCTTTTAGGCAAAAAAAAAAAAAAAAAAAAAAAGTGAAGACTTGTAAAACTAAGACTTTAACAGCAGCTTACATTCATTTTTGAATTAAAAAATGCTGCAAAGAATATTTGTTTCTTTTTTTTTTTTTTTTTTTTTTTTTTGAGACGGAGTTTCGCTCTTGTTACCCAGGCTGGAGTGCAATGGCGCGATCTCGGCTCACCGCAACCTCTGCCTCCTGGGTTCAGGCAATTCTCCTGCCTGAGCCTCCTGAGTAGCTGGGATGACAGGCACGTGCCACCGTGCCCAGCTGATTTTTTGTATTTTTAGTAGAGACGGGGTTTCACCATGTTGACCAGGATGGTCTCGATCTCTTGACCTCGTGATCCACCCGCCTCGGCCTCCCAAAGTGCTGGGATTACAGGCGTGAGCCACCGCGCCCGGCCAGAATATTTGTTTCTTAAGCTAGGTCGTATGATTCTGAGGTTAGGTCAGAGGCCCTAGGGTGCTGGCTATGTCTTATCAGTTGTAGGACCTTGGGAACATTTCTCAGGCTTCTGAGTTAGTTTCTTTTTCTATAAGGCTACAATAACAATAGTTCCCACTTGTGAGGCTTGTTAATAGTGATCTTAAATAAACTAGTGTATAGTAAGGACTCAATAAATGTTGGCTATTGTATAAGATTTATAAATATGGTCAAGCAGAAATTACAAAATCAAAAGTACTCCTCATGCTACCACCCAGATAATAATGCTTTACAATTGTGATGTGGTTTATTAGTATTTTTACATAGTGGGGTTTGGTTTTATATATTTCCTTGACCTTTTTCATTTAAAAGCAATGTATAGTTACAGGATGTGAAAGATATTTATTGGCATAATATTTCTATTATAGCAATTAAATTAATATTAAATTAAATGTATTTGTCATATTATTGCTATAAATATCTTTCACATCCTGTAAGTACACATCACTTCATTATTTGTTTAACCTCCTTCTGTGGATATGAGTTATTTCTATCTTTTTCTATTACAAACAACAGTCCAGTGAACTTTTTTTTTTTTTTTTTTTTTTTTTTTTTTTTTTTTTTTTTGAGACACAGGCTCACTCTGTCACCCAGGCTGGAGTGCAGTGGCATGATCTTGGCTCATTGCAACCTACACCTCATGAGTTCAAGCAATCTTTCCACCTCAGCCTCTCAAATAGCTGGGATTACAGGTGCCCGCCACCATACCTGGCTAATTTTTGTATTTTTAATGGAAATGGGGTTTCACCATGTTGACCAGGCTGGTCTTGAACTGCTGACCTCAAGGGATCCACCTGCCTTGGCCTGCTAAAATGCTGGGATTACAGGCGTGAGCCATTGCACCCAGCCCAATGAACATTCTTATAGAAAATTAAGTGTAAATCTCCTATCAGTTTTTTAGGATAAATTCTCAAAATTTATGTTAAATAATGTGCACATTGTTGAAGGTCTTTTCCAGACAGGGTCTTGCTTTGTCGCCCAGGCTGGAGAGCAGTGGTGTGATGATAGCTCACGCACCACTGCAACCCCTCGAGGGATTCTTTTACCTCAGCCTCCCAAGTAGCTGGGAGTACAGGAGCATGCCACCATGCCCCGCTAATTTCTTCTTGTTGATGTTTTGCAGAGATGGTTTTTTGCCATGTTGTCCAGGCTGGTCTCCAACTCCTGGGCTCAAGTGATCCACCCACCTCCGCCTCTCAGAGTGCTGGGATTACAGGCATGGGGCGCTGCATCCAGCCCATAAAAGTTCTTGATATTTATTTTCCAATTACTTGTACTTTACACTCCATGTGCAATGAATATGGCGCCGAGTTTCCCTTTCTTTCATAAAATATATACGTATGCAATTTACAAATAAACAACCTCTGGAAGTTTTGTCTACCAGATGTATCTACTTAATATCAATAGCCGTTCACAAACATTTTGGGTTTCAATACTCCTTTATACTTTTAAGATGCACTGAGAAACTCAAAGAGCTTTTGTTTATACGTGATATATCTGACAATATTTACGTTACTGGAAAGTAAAACTAAGAAATGTTAAAGATATTTATTTATTAACTTATCTAAAAATAATATTAACAAAACTATTATACATTGACATAAATAATACATTTTTTTGTTTAAAAAACCGTAATTTCCAAAAAAATTGAGAAGGTGAGAAGAGTGACATCATTTTACGCTTTTGCAAATATGTTTAATGTCTGACATAATAGAAGGCAGGTGGATTCTCTTTTCTGTCTCTGCATCCACCTGTCGCTATATCACACATTATATAGCCTTCTGGAAAACGCCACGGTTTACTCATTACAGTAAAAAAAGGAAAATAACATTTTAGTACTTATCCTGAAAACAGCTTTGATCTCATGGACCATCCATGAGGATCTCACAAATTTCCAGGGGTCCCCAAACCATATTCTGAGAACTGCTGATATATACTATCAAGGACATAGTGATACACATCTTTAAGGAAGAAAAGGAAATTTAAATTAACTCGAAGATAGTGTGGAAATCAGTACTAAATCTTAGAGTGAATTATCTAGGCTGTCTTTGAAACACTTTTTATGCTGACATAAATCATGGAAAACACAGACTTATTAATCAACTCAGACTTTTATTTTGACTATTCCATGACCATGGTTGTGTTTATGATACTGTTCCTATTGACTCAGAGGATCATGAGTTTTGCTTAATAGTTCTTGTCATGTTTTTCTTTCCTCAATTTAGCATGGGAGGCTACATTGCTTTTAAGACTGCACTACACCTAAAAGAAAAGCATAAACTAGAACCATTGCATTTATTTTTGTCAAGTGCCTTTTCTCCACATGTAAGTAATTTAGCTTATTCCTAGGAAGGGTAGTGGAGAGCAGGGAAATGGGGATAAAAATTGTTTCCCTAGCTGATGAATTTTGGTCCAGTATGGTGACGATGGTGGGGATACTATTAGGTTGGTGCAAAAGCAATTGAGGTTTTGCCATTACCTTCTTTTTTTTTTTTTTTTTTTTTTTTTTTTTCTTCTTCTTTGAGATGGAGTCTCACTCTGTTCTCCAGGCTAAAGTGCAGTGACACAATCTTGGCTCACTGCAACCTCAGCTTCCTGGGTTCAAGTGATTCTCCTGTCGCAGCCTCCTGAGTAACTGGGACGACAGGCGTGTGCCACCATACCTGGCTAATACTGTATTTTTAGTAGAGACAGGGTTTCACCATGGCCAGGTTGGTCTTGAACTCCTGACCTCAGGGATCCACCTGCCTTGGGCTCTCAAAGTGTTGGGATTACAGGCATAAGCCACCATGCCCAGTCTGCCATTACTTTCAATGGCAAAAACCACAATTGCTTTGCACCAACCTAATACTTGCTGTTGAAAAGTTCCTTAAATCTCAATATCATTATCTCTGTGTTTCCCTGAAATGTGCTTCAACTGTTCCCTGCTGGCACTATTCCTGGCATCTCTGAGCTAATGCTGACTGTAGTGATTTTTCCTTCATTCTGGGCCAGCTGGGAACTTAACCAACTTTGAGCAAAGTAACTGGATCAGAACCAGGAAAGACTCCTTGGAATTTAAAAAGGGGATAGTGATGTCAAATTTTTAGAACCACGATGGCTTTTTAAACCTGGTGCTGCTTGTTCCTCCTGCTCTTCCTCCTGCCTCTTTGGTCTTCCCCACTTCATCTGGAGAAAGATCCTGCCTGTCCCAGGATTCTAAAGCTACAAAGTCATGTTGGTGGCTTTATGATGCTGCAGTTATCACTAATGACTCTTCCTGCTTTCAAAATGAGATAGTTCTTCCCTGAAGCCTGTAGATAAAGCAGTCCACTTCCCAGCCTTGGTTTAATGACTTTTCCCTTAGATCACCAGTTTTCAGCTTATGAGCAAATGTGTTATATGAAATATCAGGCCTGTATTGTTCATGTTTCAAGTCAAAGTTCCAGATTCAAATTCCCAAAGAGAATGGATTGTCAGAAGAACAAATTTGTCATTACCTTGTGGCTTTTGGAGGCACCCCCATGAATTTTATTGAAGACAAGGAACTTCAGCAACAATATATGCCCACTGTGATGGCAGATGTGAACATGCTTAGTAGATGCATGTAAGTAACAGAGACAAGCTTTCTTTCTTTTTTTTTTTTTTTTTGGTATAATTATTTGTAGAGAAAACATAGATTGGCAGTGCTCTGAGGCTGCTTAGATGGGGAGACAAAATTATAAGAGTTTGGTTTAATTTCCTTTGGGGCCACCTGCAGTATGTATACTGGTTTAGAATGGAGCCTAGGCATAGAAATTGTGTCTGTAAAAGATGTCTAGCATGGCCAGGCACAGCGACTCATGCCTGTAATTCCAGCACTTTGGCAGACCGAGGCTGGTGAATCAATTAAGGCCACGAGTTCAAGACAAGGCTGGCCAACATGGCAAAACCCCATCTGCACCAAAAACACAAAAATTAGCCAGGTGTGGTGGTGCACGCCTGTAATCCCAGCAACTTGGGAGGCTGAGGTAGGAGAATCACTGGAACCGAGGAGGTGGAGACTCCAGTGAGCCAAGATCACACCACTGCCCTCCAGCCTGGGCAACAGAGCGAGACTCCTATCTCAAAAAAAAAATGTGTAGCATATATATTTCTTTTAAAAATATATGATTAGACATGCATATTTTATTACATAACATAGTAAATATTTGTTGAATAAATTAAGGGTAAAGCATATTCATCTTCTTAGAAGGGTCAGTAGAAATAGATCATTACTTATAAGTGTGGGAAAAAACCAGTGGGAAGAAATTTGCTAGGTTTACTTTTTTGTAAATTTGGTTCCAGAACTCATTAAGTTCTATAACATCTCTCCATTCCCTTGTCTAATGGGATGTCTGTATTGACTCTTGGTTTTTCTGACAGAACTGAAAGAACTGAAGTCCTGATACTCTGTAAATCCTTTTTTTTTTTTTGAGACGGAGTCTTGCTCTGCTGCCTAGGATGGAGTGCAGTGGAGAGATCTCGGCTCACTGCAACTTCCGTCTCCCAGGTTCAAGTGATTCTTGTGTCTTAACCTCCCAGTAGCTGGGATTACAGATATGTACCACCAAGCCCAGATAATTTTTTAAATTTTCAGTAGAGATGGGGTTTCACCATGTTGGCCAGGCTGGTTTCAAACTCCCGACCTCAAGTGATCTGCCCACCTGGGCCTCCCAAAGTGCTGGGATTACAGGCCTGAGCCACCACGTTCCCTAATAATCTAAGCCTACAAAAGGCTCTTCCTAGTCTAACTTCCCCATAGTCATTGTGGCACCATGATATGGCCCTTAGTCACTGCTGCATACTCTCCTTTGTTTTTTTCTGTTTTGCTTGGGGCTTGTCCATTTGGTCTAAGTTCCTTGCAGGCTTGGGCCTATGTTTCTTTTATTTCCTCCACAAGGTCTGGAACTGGGCATTCAACACCAGACGCAGGGCTTGCTGCTAGAAGCTTACATAAATAGCTACAAAAAGGTTAAGAGACTCGCAGCATCTTGAGAATGGAGACAATCCATTCATCTTTGCCATGTTCTTCCATTCACTGTCCACGTCCAATCTATCGCAAGCTACACAATTTACCTTCAATATCCCAGGTCTAGACATATGTAACCATTTCTATCCCAACCATCTTAGCTCAAATGTGATTCTCCTAAGGCTAAAGCTCTCTTGTGTTTCTGGCTTATTGTAGAGCGAGGATCAAAGAAATACCAGTTTGACATTAAAAGAAAAACAAAACCAGAAACCTGATATTTTTTAAAGCTATGGTCATCTCACATGCAGTGACACCCATAGGCTCAAAAGAAAAGGATGGAAAAAAATCTCCCAAGCAAATTAGAACGCAAGGAAGGAGGGGTTGCGATCCTAACTTCAGACAAAACAGATATTAAACCAACAAAGATAAAAGACAAAGAAGTGCATTACATAATGGTAAAGGGTTCAATTAGACAACAAGACCGAACTATTCTAAATATATATGTTCCCAGCACAGGAGCACCCAGATTCATAAAGCAAGTCCTTTGAGACCCTCAAAGAGACTTAGACTCCCACACAATCATATTGGGAGATTTCAACACCCCATAGATCATCAAGGCCAAAAAATTAACAAAGATATTCAGGACCTAATATCAGCACTGAATGAAACTAACCTGACAGATATCTACAGAACTCTCTACCCCAAGACAACACAATATACATTCTTCTCATTGCCACATTACATACGATAAAAATGACCGCATAATCAGATAGAAAACACTCCTCAGAAAATGCAAAAGAACTCAAATCATAACGTCTACTCTCTCAGGTAACAGCACAATTAAAACAGAATTCAAGACCAAGAAAATTGCTCAAAACCATACAATTGCATGGAAATTGAATAACCTGCTCTGGAATGACTTTTGGGTAAATAATGAAATTAAGGTAGAAATCAAGAAGTTCTTTGAAACTAATGAGAACAAAGCATGAGATCATGCCCTTTGCAGGAAGGTGAATGGAGCTGGAGGCCGTTATCCTTAGCAAACTAACACAGGAAAACTAAATGCTGTATGTTCTCACTTAAAAGTGGGAGCTAAATGATGAGAACACATGGACACAAAGATAGGAATAATACACACCGAGGCCTGCTTGAAGGTAGAGCGTGGGAGCAGAGAGAGGATCAAAAAAATAACTAATTAGTCATGGTCCCAGCTATTTGGGAGGTTGAGGCATGAGAATCACTTCAACTGTGGAAGCGGAGGTTGCAGTGAGCTGAGATCACACCACTGCACTCTAGCCTGGGAGACAGAGCGAGACTTTCTCAAAAAGAAAAAAAAAAAGGAAAGGGGGAAAAAAAGTTATGGTAATCAAAACATTATTGTAATGTCATGAAAACAGACATATCAGCCAATGAAACGAAATAGCCTAGAAATAACCCCAATGCAATTGTGGGTTGGTTTTTTTTTTTTTTTTTTTTTTTTTTTTTTTCGGAGACAGGGTTTTGCTCTGTCACCCAGGCTGGAGTGCGGTGGGATGATGGGAGCTCACTACAACTGCCTCTTTTTTTTTTTTTTTTTTTTTAAGTAGAGATGGAGTTTCTCTATGTTGCCCAGGGTGATCTCAAACTCCTGAGCTTAAGTGATCCTCCTGCATCAGCCTCCCAAAGTGCTGGGATAACAGGCATGAGCATCTCTGTACTTGGCCAGGAATAAGCTTTTGAGATCTACTGCACAGTATGGTGACTATGCATGTGTATTTCAAAATTGCTAAGAAAGTAGATTTTCAACATGCACATCATTTTAAAAAGTTAAGTATATGAGGTGATGGATATGTTAATTTGCTTGACTTAATCATTCCATAATGTATACTAACATCAAAATATCACAGTATACCTCACCAATATAAACAATTATTGGTGAATTTAAAACAAAATTGAAAAAGCTAGGAAGTAATCCAAATCGCTATGGACATTCAGTGCAATCATGTATGCAAAAGCTGGCCTTTAATAATTAAGCCTTGACGGTCGCGGTGGCTCATGCCTATTATCCCAGCACTTTGGGAGGCTGAGGCGGGTGAATCACGAGGTTAGGAATTCAAGACCAGCTGGGCCAAGATGGTGAAACCCTGTCTCTACTACAATACAAAAATTAGCCCGGCATGGTGGCATGTGCCTGTAATCCCAGCTACTCAGGAGGCTGAGGCAGAGAATTGCTTGAACCTGGGAGGCAGAGATTGCAGTGAGCTGAGCTCACGCTACTGCACCCCAGCCTGGGTGACAGAGGGGGACTCCATCTCAAAAAAAGAAAAAAAAATAAGCCTTGCACAATGATGAAACATGCCATCTTTAGAGTCTACTTAGCAGATTGAAAGCCTCTGTGTTTTGTGTTTTTTTTTTTTTTTTTTTTTTTGAGACGGAGTTTCGCTCTTGTTACCCAGGCTGGCGTGCAATGGTGCGATCTCGGCTCACCGCAACCTCCGCCTCCTGGGTTCAGGCAATTCTCCTGCCTCAGCCTCCTGAGTAGCTGGGATTACAGGCACGCACCACCACGCCCAGCTAATTTTTTGTATTTTTAGTAGAGACGGGGTTTCACCATGTTGACCAGGATGGTTTCGATCTCTTGACCTCGTGATCCACCCGCCTCGGCCTCCCGAAGTGCTGGGATTACAGGCTTGAGCCACCACGCCCAGCCTAAGCCTCTGTGTTTTACTCGCTGTGAGATTCTGAGCAAGTTTCTTTAACAGTTTGTGTCTCGTCTGTCAAAGAAGGGGTAATAATAACAACTCTTCAAGGCGTTGTGTGAGAATTAACTGCTTGGTAGAGGGGAGGGTCTGGCACACAACGAACCACAAGCTATTTTTAAAAAAGAAAACACAACCAAAAAACTCACAACTGGTGAGTTTTTTTCACTCCGAAGAAACCTCCCCAACACCAAAAATAAAGCATTAACATACATCACGCATGGAACATTCCACTCATAGAATGTAGAAAACGGTAACCTTCTCACCCTTTCTCCAGCGGATCAAATTGCAGTAGTTACTCACAACTTTTAACTTCCTCTCTCCAGAGTTCAAAAACTCTCCGAAATCCTGCCATCCTGCTGCTTCTCCTGTTCGGTCTGATCTCTCTCCTGTCCTCGTTATCTCCCAGGTTTTTCCAATATAAATGAAATCAGGCCTACAGAGTTTTTCCCAGTCCTCTCCTTCTCCATCACTACCACCAAAGCTCAGAGCTGGTAGTCAAAATGGAAATAGTCAGCTGCGAAGTGCCAGAAGCTGTGACTACTTCAACTCATCTAAGCTGTCCTCCTCTCTTGCTTGAGACTTTTGTTTTATTGTTCCTCCTCTGGGATCCTGATGCCACGTATATTAGGCTGTTTCATAATTGATATTGTCCCAAATGTCTTGGAAGTTCCGTTTTATCTCTTTTTTAAAAAAGTTTCCTTTCTGTTTCAGTGTAAATAATTTCTTCTGACCGTCTTCAAGGTCAGACTTTCTTTCCACAGCTGCATCAAGTCTACTGATCAGCCTGTCAAAAGACTTCCTCATTTCTGTTCTTATTTTTAGAAATTCCATTTGACTCTCTCCAATCTTCGCCTTTTAATGAAATTCCTCAGGTGTTCATGAATGTTACCCAACTTTTCCACTAAATCTGTTGACAAATGAATCCTACGTATTTTAAAGTCCCTGTCTATGAGTTCCAACACCTGGACCTTATGTGCATCTGATTCTTTTGACTGCTTTGCCTCTTAACAATGGTTATTTCTTGCTTTCTTGTGTGTCTGATAATTTTTAAAAATCAAAAGCCAGTTATCATGCATAAAACAGTAGCGACTGAAGGTAATGTTTTACACCTGAATTTGAGCATGTCTCTCCTTTTGCCAGGTCGTTAGTGTGGGGAGGTGAATCAGTCTAGTCTGGGCTGCTTGTTGCTGTGATCACCTCAATTGCACCACCAGCTCTCAAGTCCTCTGGTGTAATTACTGTGTCTGGTATGGGATCCAGTTGCAGAATTTTTCTCAGTCGTCCTGATCCACCCTTCGCGTTTAATGTTCCCTGTGACTCATAGAACAGCCTCTCTCCCTCCTGTTGCCCTCCCCAGTGTAGACAGCTGTGGCTTGTTACACAGCTGTGGGTAACACAGGGAGTTCTTGGACATCCTAGATAGTCTGAAGCATGAATTCTAGGTAGCCCCTGAGCCTGGGCTCTATGAATGGGGCTTTCTCAGCATGCCTGCTCCTTCTCTCTCGCAAACACATTCTTGCCTTGTATCTGTGGTTGCCTTTGCAGAAGATTCCTGCCCCTTCCCACAAGCAGCAGAGCTCTGCTTGGTTTTGCTGTAGAATTGTTTCCCATCCCTTCCCCAGAGGTAGAGGGCTTATGCTTTTATCCTCCCCCGAGCAGCCACAGGGCTTCACCTGCACCCTGGGAGTGAGAGGGTTTCATGTCCCTTCTCCAGCAACTTAAGGCTCCTGCTTACAGTGAGAGCAGACCTGGTCAGGTTGCAATCTAGTGCCATTCCAGTTGCCACAGCTAGGAGGTGTCTCTCAAGCCTCTTATTTTACTCCTAATCTTTCTCGTCAACCCCTAGTGAAGGCCCACGGAAAGGAGGCTGTGTGGCCAGGCACGGTGGCCCATGCCTGTAATCCCAGCACTTTGAGAGGCCAAGGCGGACAGATCACTTGAGGTCAGCAGTTTGAGATCAGCCTGGCCAACATGGTGAAACACCATCTCTACTAAAAATACAAAATTAGCTGGTTTGGTGGCGGGTGCCTGTAATCCCAGCTACTTGGGAGGCTGGGGTATGAGAATCACTTGAACCCAGGAGAAAGAAGTTGCAATGAGCTAAGATCACTCCACTGCACTCAAACCAGAGAAATAGAGTGAGAATCCGTCTCAAACAAACAAAAAGTCAAAAGAAGCTACAAGTCAGTGTAAACTCCACCTGACACACCATTTGTCTACAACACTAAAATTTTGGCTGATTTGAGTCTTACTGCATATACTGCAGTAAGTAGCACATGGACTTCTGCCTGGACTTTGCTCCACCTGACCCTGTCTATGGGCCCCACCTTTCTGAAGCGGGAGTCTGCCCTCCTTGGAATTTGATTTCTAGCTTGCCTTGCAAACACAGCTCCCTGTTGGGTTCAGGACAAGTCATGATGCTGTAGTTTCTCTGTTTTTTGCCTGTCTTTTTTTTCTTTTTTCTCGTTAGGATGGGGCATGGGGTGCTGCTGGTTTTCTATAGTGTGGCCAGGAGCAAATCTTTGCCTGGACTATTGGAAGGGCCATTCACTTGGGCCGGTCACATATGCTTGGTCCCGCTCTGATCCATTCCCCGCACTCTATCCAGAGGATAAGAGTTGAGTTTGATCATGGCTTACCTTGTCTTAGGTCTTTTTGGTGACTTCCTCTCACTCTTGGGATAACCAAATTCCTTTATGTGGCCTAGACTTGGGTCTTGCATAACTTTCTTATGCCTTAATTTGTCCCAAGACTCCACTTTGTTCTCTGAACAAATTCTCGTTTTGTTTTGTTTTGATTTTTGAGACAGGATCTTACTCTGTTGCCCAGGCTGGAGTGCAATGGAGCAAGCACAGCTCACTGCAGCCTCGACCTCCTGGGCTCAAGTGATCCTCTCACCTCAGCCTCTCAAGTAGCTGGAACTACAGGTATGTGACACCACACATGGCTAATTTTTTTATTTAGTAGAAATGGGATCTTGCTATGTTGCCCAGGCTGGTCTCAAACTCCTGGCCTTAAGTGGTCCTCCCGCCTTGGCCTCCCAGACTGCTGGGATTATGGTATGAGCTACCACACCTGACCTAGCCATTAATATTTCATCTTTCTCTTCCCTCTCGCCCTGCTGGCTCTCTGCCCTTTGACCAGTTCTTTTCTATTCATCCAGGTTTCAGATCCTCTCCTCTTCCCCAGGAGACCTGCCTTGACCCTGTCCCCACCTCCACCCTCCTGCCAAGTGTTCTCCCTCTCCCTGGACTTGATGGCACTTCTATCTCTCTAGCTGTCTGTTTCAGTAATGCCTGTCTCCCAGCGAGTCTCTCAGCTGCAGCAGAGCAAGGAGTGTGCTTGTTTCTCCGTGTGCCCCTAGTGTCTACTGCAGTACCAAGCCTCTGACTCCATATCACATTTGCTGCTGTTCTGAGTTTCTGTGCATAGCAACCCTTTGCTGGGCCAGGGAGAGCTGAGAATTACCAAAGAGGTCTTCATTTCTGGTGAATGACAGTTTAAAGGACTGGTTGCACCAGCCTCACCTTGAGTTGAACTGGGTGCCCCAGTGCCATTCCGCTGCCACTTGTCACATCCTAGAAGTTAGATACTGGAAATGAGTCTCCACACTGAGTCTCAGGCGGGCTTTGACAGGTTAGAAGTGCCACTGGTGAAAAACGTTTACACCGTTAGAAGTAGCCAAAGGAAAAGAAGTGAGCCCACCCCAGTTTCATTGACATGGTGTTAGGAACGGGAAAAGATTCTGGGATGTTGATTTTGAACAATTACTAACTAGCTCTTTTATGTTTACAGCTCTGAGAGTCCATCTAAGACTATTCTTTCTTGTGACTTAACATGTTTTCTTGGATCTGAAGACATAGACCTAGTAAAGGACACTGAAGGTGAAATTATTTTTAGTCTCGGGTAGTGTATTGAAATATATATTGAATGGCTTTAAAAAATTGTAATCTTTAATTTTTTGGGTACATAGTAGGCGTATATACTTCTGTTTGATGGTTTCTGACCAGTGTCCACTTTGGATTGAGGTGGTTTTTTATTAAGGAGAATTTTATTTATTTGTTAGTTAGTTAGTTTGTTTGTTTGAGATGGAGTCTGGCTATGTGGACCAGGCTGGAGTGCAATGGTGAGAACTCAGCTCACTGCAATCTCCACCTCCCAGGTTTAAGCCTCCTGAATGGCTGGGATTACAGGCACATGCCACCATACCCAGCTAATTTTTTGTATAGTAGAGACGGGGTTCACCATGTTGGCCAGGCTGGTCTTGAACTCCTGACCTTGTGATCCACCTACCTTGGCCTCCCAAAGTGCTGGGATTACAGGCATGAGCCACTGCACCTGGCTAAGGTGAATTTTAGAATGAGGGGCTTGTCTAACAGGGCAATGCTCCTATTCTGTCACCTAGAACATAGACCTTGAAAGTAACTGTACCCCAGGGGGTCAGCTCTTAAAGAAATAATGTCTTGAAGTGAATCTTTAGTTGCAGTTGGTGTTGTTATTGAATATAATCTTGTTTATTTTCAGTCTGGAAAGATGTAACCACTGGAAGTGTAAACATCCACAAGCTTCCAGGAGATCACTTTTATTTTAAGAATCCTGCCAACGAGAAATTCATCAAGAACTACATAATCAAGTGTCTAGAAGTATCATCACTTGCCGATTTTTAGATAGTTTTCCTTTCACTTTTAAAACAATCAAAGTGATATGATATTCTTCTCAGTTATTCAGATTTGCCTCATTCTATTCCGATATTAGAAATTATACGTGTTCTACAGTCAGGGAGATTCATTATATAAATATATGTATGTATCTAGGGACAAAGGTCAAGCCAGTAAACAATACTGGTAGAGTCTTTTATCTTCATATTAAAATCTCACTTGATTCTGCTTTATTGGAAATTTGTCAACAAAATTCATGATTGGTAAATTATCCATTTTTTCCTTCAATTAGTTTAATGGTATAGATGATTAAGGGGAAATGCTTGAAGTAAAATCTCATCTTTTCAAATGTAGAATAGCCCCATTTAATAAGAAAATCTACTGCTTTGTTAAAAGAAGATAGCCCTAAACGAGTATTGTCACTTGTACAGGCAAGTCCCCAGAATGCCTGTACCCCAGCCCTGCCACCCTGCCATGCTCTGCTACCTAGCATCACTGGCTGGGACCTGGATCCAGTCCTCCCAACAAACAACCAATCTAGAGTCTGGCCGGTGATAAAGGGAGTGGCCAAGCACAAATCCACGCCTAAGATGCTGCCTGGCCCTCACTCAGCAATAACTTGAACTTGACTTAGGGAGAAAGCACAACAGCTGGACACAAACAAGAACCAAGAGAAAAGAAAGCAGAAATAGGGGCCAGAGGCAGCAGTTCAACACCTATAATCCCAGCACTTTGGAAGGCTGATCGGGAGGATTATTTGAGGTCAGGAGTTTGGGAGACCCCCGTCTCTACAGAAGATTTTAAAAATTAGCCAGGCATGGTGGTGTGTACCTGTAATCCCAGCTACTTGGAAGGCTGAGGCCGAAGAATCACTTGAGCCCAGGAGGTCGAGGCTGCAGTGAACTAGGATCATGCCACTGCATTCCAGCCTGGGTGACAGAGTGAGATCCTGTCTCAAAATAATAATAATAATAATAATAATAATAATAATAAGGTCTTAGTAAATACTAAGATTAAGGAAAGTGCACATAGGTGGTATTATCACAAAATTTATGACTGTTTTTAAACAAAGTACAAATAACATAAAAATAACTATTTGGGGGAGACACTTTGAGTTAGAATTCATGTAATAAATTTAGGCTACAAATAGCCTCAAGCAAATTATGTTAAATGTGTAATATGTGTTGTACTTTATCCTTTGATTTGATACTATTTCCAGGGCTCCCTCACTGACAGATTGGTACAAAAGTAACGAGGAGGCTGGGCACGATGGCTCACCCCTATAATCCCAGCACTCTGGGAGGCCAAGATGGATCACCTGAGGTCAGGAGTTAGAGACCAGCCTGGCCAACGTGTCAAAACTCCGTCTCTACTAAAAATAAAAATAAAAAAATGAAAAAATAAAAATTAGCTGGGTGTGGCAACAGGTGCCTGTAATTCCAGCTACTCAGGAGGCTGAGGCAGGAGAATCACTTGAACCCTGGAGGCAAAGGTTAGAGTGAGCCGAGATTGCACCACTGCACTCCAGCGTGGGCAACAGAACAAGACTCCGTTCCAAAAAAAAAGAAAAGAAAAGAAAAAGGAATTTGGATTTGTGATTATTAATTTGCAAAATGTTTAGTCAAGATAGTCTGCAAATTGAAGTTTCATGGTGGAACCGATGTGAGGCTTTGGGGTGAGCTTTTCCCCTGCGTCTCTCCCTGGGGGAGGTAAAGTCCACATGGGAATAACTGTTTGGTGTTTTCAAGCCCTCAACCGTAAGACACCAGGTCTATCATTGCTGATGTCTTCTCTTTGAAGGACTTAGGCTCTGATGTCATTGTGGAAGACTTCTATCATTAGGCTAAATTTAGAAAGATGAGAATTATCTCGGTTGCCAAAATTTTCCCTGTGAGAAACCAACCTCGATTTTTAAAATTAAACTTTCTGAGCTAACCGCAGATTCCCTTTTATTCATAAGACATAATACAGAGACACTAGTGTAGCCTTTACCCAGTTTCCTTTAATGGTAACTGTCATGCAAAACTACAGTGTAATATCACAATCAGGATATTGGTGTTGCTACAATAAAGACAGAACATTCCATCACTGCAGGATCATCCCTCCTCTGCCCTTTTAAACCACACCCAGCTCCCTCCTCCAGGGAAACTGCTATTCTGTCCTTTGCGTCTGTAAATTTGCCCTTTCAAGAATGCTGGCTGGACGCGGTGGCTCGTGCCTGTAATTTCAGCACTTTAGGAGTCCAAAGCTGGTGGATCACCTCGGATCAGGGGTTCCAAACCAGCCTGGGCAACATGGCGAAACCCTGTCTCTATGAAAAACACAAAAATTAGCCAGGCATGGTGGCATGCGCCTGTAGTCCCAGCTACTCAGGAGGCTGAGGTGGGAGGATCACTTGAGCCTGGGAGGCGGAGGTTGCAGTGAGCCTAGATCATGCCACTGCACTCCAGCCTGGGTAACAGAGTGACATCCTGTCTCAAAAAAAATGTTTCATAAATGGAATTATACATGTAACATTTGGGGATTGACTTTTTCTGCTCAGCATAACTCCTTAAAAATTCATCTTGTGGATCTACAGAGTTTTGCTGCTGTAGTAATGTGAAGACGATCTATTCCTCTTGGTTGTAGCATTCCAAACCTACATTTTTACGCAGGGAATAGAGGTACGCTGTTTTGGGGGATATTTACCGTATGAGATCTCAAACAATTTTTTGAACTGTTAACAATGGACTATCTTCTTTTGAAGAGCTTGTGTACCATCTAGAAAGACTGAGTAGGAGGCCAATATTATATTCCAGACTCTATTTTTACTCTGATAGAACTGAACATATGGGGTACAGTAATGGTACAGTTTATCTCTAGATACATTTTAGTTTGCTTGTTTTTTATTTGTCTTAAATGTAAAAATTTAAAGAAAAACAGACATTTCTATGGTGGCTTTTAAAATTTCTTTAAACTGCTATGGACAGACTTGTACATTTCTTTAAAAAATCATTTTCAGGGCTGGCGCAGTGGCGCATGCTTGTAATCCCAGCACTTTGGGAGGCAGAGGCGGGCGGATCATGAGGTTGGGAGATTGAGACCATCCCGGCCAACATGGTGAAACCCTATCTCTACTAAAAATACAAAAAATTAGTTGGGTGTGGTAGTACACACCTGTAGTACCAGCTACTCGGGAGGCCGAGGCTGCAGAATCACTTGAACCCAGGAGATGGAGGTTGCAGTGAGCCAAGATTGTGCCACTGCACTCCAGCCTGGTGACAAAATGAGACTCCATCTCAAAAACAAAAAAAATCATTTTCAGCTTATTTGTTCTGTTTTATATAACATTTACTACAATACACGAGTAGGATTATAGCTACCTCTTTCAATTCTTAGTACAGCCCTCTGAGAGGGATATTATTTTCCCTCCTCTACAGATGAGGCTTAATAAGGTTAAGTAACTTGTCCCAGGTCAGCTAGCAAGTTCACAAATGAATGAGGACTGGGGCCAGGTATGTTCTCTGGGTCACAATCTCTGTGTCATGGTGTAAGGAAGGAACAGTCTTGCCACTGATTCTTTCTTTCTTTCTTTCTTTTTTTTTTTTTTTTTTCCCCCTTTTTGAGACAGAGTCTCACTCTGTTGCCCAGGCTGGAGTGCAGTGGCATGATCTCGGCTCACTGCAACCTCCTTCTCCTGGGTACAAGTGATTCGCCTGCCTCAGTGTCCCGAGTAGCTGGGATTACAGGCATGAGCCACCAATGCCTGGCTAATTTTTGTATTTTTAGTAGAGATGAGGTTTTGCCATGCTGGTCAGGCTGGTCTCAAACTCCTGACCTCGGTGATCCGCCCGCCTTGGCCTCCCAAAGTGCTGGTTAAGGCGTGAGCCACCTCGCCCAGCCTTGTCATTGATTCTTAATAACCTGTTTTTATTTCACCAGTAACATTAACTCATTGTAGCAGAACAGATGAGCCAAATGAACAAACAGCTGTCCAAATCTGTGTACATATTACCAGGGCGAGACTTCCTAAAACGTCAAAAAAACAACAGATGTGGAGAAAAGGGAATTACACACTGTTGGTGGGAATGTAAATTAGTATAACCTCTGTGAAAAAAACAGCACGAAGATTTCTCAAAGAGCTAAAAATAGAACTACCATTCTATCCAGCAATCCCACTACGAGTGTCTACTTAAAGGAAAAGAAATCATTACATCCAAAACATACCTGCACTTGTATGTCTATTGCAGCACAATTCACAATAGCAAAGATATGGAATCAACCTAAGTATCTATCAGTGGATGACGGATAAAGAAAATGTGGTATATGTGTACCAGGGGATATTACTCAGCCATATGAAGAGAATGAAATTATGGCTTTTGCAGCAACATGAGTGGGACTGGAGGCTATTATCTTAAGTGAAAAAACTCAGAAAAAAAGAAAAAAGAAAAGAATGATTTAAAAAACCCTCAGAAATAAAAAGTAAAATACCACATGTTTTCGATTATAAGTGGGAGTTAAACGGTGTGTATACAGGGTCATGGAGGGTGGAATAATACACACTGGAGACTCAGAAAGGTGGGAGGGGTGAGACGAGAAATTACCTTTCAGGTACAATGCACACTATTTGGGTGACAGTTAGATAAAAGCCCAGACTTCCCCACTACACAATATATCCATGTAACAAAACTGCACTTGTGACCAGGTGCAGTGGCTCACACCTGTAATCCCAGCAATCTGGAAGGCAAAGGTGGGTGGATCACCTGAGGTCGGGAGTTTGAGACCAGCCTGGCCAACATGGCAAAACCCCATCTCTACTAAAAATACAAAGATTAGCCAGGCATTGGTGGCGCATGCCTGTAATCCCAGCTACTCAGGAAGCTGACGCAAGAGAATTGCTTGAACCCAAGAGGTGGCGGTTGCAGTGAGCCGAGATCGCACCACTGCACTTCAGCCTGGGTGACAGAGCAAGACTCCTTCTCAAGAAAAAAACAAACAAACAACGAACAAACCAAAACTGCAGTTGTACTCCCTCACTCTA